TATTATTATTATCCTTTAAGATTCACTCCAGACAATGGTGTAGAGTTTTGATAACTTCAGGGATAACTGTTGAGATGTTAGACTACAATAACTTTACCAATCCTGGTATTGGATTTGTAGTCCAGTAATATCTGGAGGGCACCATGTTGACTACCCTTGATCAAAGCCCTGCTTTACAAAACTAAGACATATCTTTATTATTAGAATGTAAACATATGCAGAAGTATTTCTGCACTAATAGTGGAAAAGTGCAAATGCTATCTTTGTTGACTAAACATTGTTTCTCCCTTGCTGTGCTGAAGTCTTTGCTGGAAATGATGTGGTGAAGCACATTAGGACCTGCCTCTTTTAAGTAGGAAACATTGTGTACAAAGCGGAGTGGGGTATTTGATTTAAAGTATTTAAATAAAATACTTTTAAAAAATCTGATCCTTTTAGGATTCCAGTTTGGTATGGAATAATTTCCACCTCAATACAAATAGCTATAATAAAGCGGATAAAATCAATAAACCAACTAAAGTTATGATTGTAGTGTGACCATGCATGCATTTGTTATGCAAACCCAGCTATTTTAATTTGTTTACTGCCACCAGGGATTGGGGTGGTTTCATTTGTTTACTCTGATTAAGAGAGCACATTGCACAGGCGGATGGCATGGATTGCGTGTCCTCAGATTTCCAGAGTAAGTTATTATTCACAAAGTCATCATCCCTGAGGAATTTTTCTTTCTTTCAAAAAAAACCATGTTACCCCTGTGGAAATGTGTGTGTATTCCATTCTGAAGAAGAAAGGTGTTAAATGGCCCATTTGCTCTAGAAGGAGAAAACCCTGCTGGTTTAATTTTATCTAATTGCAATCTTAAAGCATACAGACATAATTGTTCTTGTAATGCTTCTCTGAAACTGCTTTGGTTTAATACTTTACCCGCAAGGACATCTATTACACAGAAGTGCCAAAGGTGATAGTCCCAACTCAATGGGATAGACTCATAATGTGGCACAAGAATATTTAAACCTTGCCCCCACCCCCATTCAAGGGAGTTGGATTTTATTTGATGTATTATTTCCGTTTAGCAACCGCTTACTTTCTGAAGATCTCAAAGGGGTTGTCTGTCTGTCTATCTATCTATCTATCTATCTATCTATCTATCTATCTATCTATACATATCTATCTGTCTGTCTATCTATTATCTCTACACAATAAGTACAATAAAGACTAGAATGCTTTCTCCAAAAAAAAAAAAAAAAAAAATTCCTTCCAGTAGCACCTTAAAGACCAACTAAGTTAGTTCTTGGTTCTCATACCAAGAACTAACTTAGTTGGTCTTTAAGGTGCTACTGGAAGGATTTTGTTTTGTTTTGACTATGGCAGACCAACACGGCTACCTATCTGTAACTAGAATGCTTTCTGTAAAACAACAACACTCAAATACTTAAACAATATCCATGTTGATATGAATAATCAGAGATCAGTACAAGACAGTATGATGCAAAATTACAACCAACATAAAACATTAGTCATGTAGCCACTCACCCAATCTCACTCAATCTCACTCACCATCCATTGCACATAACCACAACAGTCATTTACTACTTTGAGTATTATCTCCGTCAACCAACCACTCAAGAATATAACAACCTACAGTACCTACAAAGGATGACTGCCAATCATACACATGTGACATAGTCTCCCCATCTTCAAAGCACTAAAGAGCCCATGCCCCACACCTACTGGACCATGCTAGGATATCTTACAGGGGCGGGGGGCAGTTCTATACCAGAGCAAACATTGTCTGCACAAACATTTCCGTTTGCCAAATGGAATGATTCCCCCTCTCCTCTCCCTGTGTGCTGTTCTAGGGGCTTTGCAGCTGCCCAGAGCCAATTTCAGAGGCACATGGGGGCAAGAGGGGGGTAGAGCTTGGTTGTGCTTGCTGCTGGTGGTTAAGTGGATCCCACACATAAGGATGTATCCCCCTAAGTTATACTCAGAGTAGACCTATTGAAATAAATAAGTTAGTCATGGCCATTATTTTCAATGAGTCTGTCCTGATTAGGGGGATACAACCCAAATACAGGCAGCCCCCTGTTTACTCAGAGGTTTAGCCCAGCAAAATCATGTATAATTGAAACCCATTGAAAGAGTCTGCAGTCACCCTACTCTGCCCAGTTAGTGACATTTCAGTGATGCCTTTATGACGTTTCCATGTCCCTTCTGGGTTCAGCGTGATGTGCATATACACAGTTGCACACATATTGAACTCATGTAAATGGGGGACTGCCTATATAGCAAACTCCTACCTTGCAAGTTGATTATTGCTCTATTATATGATATGAGGAAAATATTTTTGAATCTTAAGTGTTTGCATTGGACCCACTGATCATTTGGCATCTACCCAATGGACAAGGTATCTACTAAATGAATACAGACCCTTTATCTTGTTATTATATCTTTATAGAATATGGCCACATGACACAGGGCTGTTCTTTCAGATTCTGAGGAGAAAATATTTCTGTTTATCAGATTTTTTTTAAAAGATTTCTTAGGCCGTACAATATTTTTTCATGTGAACTTGGAAGAGTAATTGTGGTTAGTTTTCAAATAAATGAAAGAAGTAAATTATTCACACACTTTTAGGGGACAGTGCTCTTCTTCTGTTGGTATAGATCAAGCAGCACCACTGAATTCAGGTTAAATCATATATGAAGAAACTGTGTGGGAGATCAAAAGCTCAGGGTGGCTTTTATCAACTCTGCCAGTTACACTGTTTAGCCACCGAGTAAAGAAAAAGGAGCAAAGAGAGACTGACAGCTTTTAAGTTGTTAGCCATTTTTGAAGGATTAACAGCAGGCTGACACTCAACATTCTTTTTATGCTATTAACTGTCTTACTTTGCACAAATTACTCTAATTAATTAATTGGCAAATTAAATATCAGTGCCTTAGCACAGTTAGAATTTTTACAAAGTTTAAAAAAGGTACATTTTCTTGACTGAACAGCACAGGAGAAATTACTTTTATTAGGAATCTTACATGGAATGGATCTTTATAGATTATTGGAAGCAATCCACATTTTAAATTGAACGGGTTAATCGCTGTTACCAGAGTTGTTTAACTAAATATTTTGCAAGCTTGAGAATTCTGAATCCAGTGCTAAGACTGGATAAATGGATTTATGCTAATCCACCGGATAGTTTTAAGCACAGAACTCTGTGGAGCAATTCAGCTGATTGACTGCTGGCCTTTGAAAAACACTGCATTCTGCTTGCCTAGGGTACGCATAACTCTGAATACATAGTAGCTGTGACCATATATAACACTAAACTGCCTGGCGCCAACATTTGTGGATTTTCAGTGCCAGCTAAAGTATGTTTCTCTTTAATGATGTGGGTTCTTGATATATCAGGCTCAAGGTCGACCCTACCATTAGACATAATGAGGCAGCCACCAGAGATGGCAGGTGCTGGGGGCAGCTCCCCCTTCCCTCAGCAGTGCCTAAAGGTAGCCTGTTGCCTTCAGGTGCAGTCAAGGTCCCTCTCCTGTTGCCAGTTCACTTGGTTCTATGTATAGAATGGGAGAGTACCATCTTGTCCTTTGCCTCAGGCAGCGAAATGTCTTGGGCCCACCCTGACTAGGCCGCTGATGTTTGCAGTGAACGGTGTAGTTGTTGAACTGGTTTATATTGTTTTAATGTTCTTAATGGACTTCTTGTAGGATTTTTATATTTGATACATCCCACTTTGGAGTGACTTGAAGGGTGGGGTAAAAACCAATTGATCATAAACAATTCATAGCTTGGCATTATGTGAATGAGCTGCAGGAAGCCTTGAAATCATACACTCTATCCTCTTATCTTGCCACATAACTGGAAAGAGGATTTTGGTGTATTTTCCCTGAATCTCAGCTTATTGCTGTATCCGAATGGAATCTCAGCTTTTTGCTGTCTCCAAATTGGGGATCAGGGCTTGCACAGTTACTGTGGTCAAACAAGCCAGATTCTGAAACCATGGTTTGAAATTGGCTTGTTTTGACATTGAGAAGGATTAGTTGATTCCCACTTTGGCTTCAACAACAAGCTGAGATGCAGAGAAACTGAAAATAAATGCTGCTGGCGTTCTTTTTCTGGCTGCACATGAGAGGAGGGAGAACATAGGTCTGTTGCTTGCTGTGGCCCATTGACTCAGTGCTAAGCCATGGTTTAGTGTTATGTCTCAACACTGCCAGTTGCCTATGTAGCATCCCTCATCCGCCTCTCCAGACTGCGTGTCATATTATAGGTACAGCATACAAAAAGAATACAAGCCCAGGAAGATAAATTGTCTCAAACGTCTATCTTGAAGAATCCTGCCTGCTTCCTTTCCGTAGCATGATAGCTTTCTTCCTTATGTATTTTGAAGCACTATGAGTTTGCATTGAATTTGTTTGTTTTATCAGCCTTATTTTCTCCCCTGCTATTGTGTTTTTGATAGGATTATAGGGACTGTAATGTTTGCACATTTTAAAGATGATGGTGATGATGATGATTGTGAGCCGCTTTGAACCCAACACTGTTGTTGGAAAAGTGGAACACAAATATCAAATAAAAAAATCAACTCTACCAAGTGTACTACAACCTGCATGCTTACACAGAACCAGCACCAGCTGATGGGTTGATTTAAATGAGAGAGTGACCACATGGGAAATGTTTCCTTGTGTCCTTGGCTTCTCATTTAAATCTGGCCTGACAGCGCCAACTGGGGAAGAAGGTTGTTGGCAGCATGTCACCCTGTACAGGGATATTTGGATCTTGTCCCTGGACTCCAACCAGAGGGCCCTGTTAAAAGTGTGTGTTCAGAACGTGGAATGAAATGAGAAATGCACTTTCAGTAAAAAGAAAGAAAGAAAGAAAGAAAGAAAGAAAAGAAAGCTAGCTCTTGTGGAAATGTTTTGCTCTTGCTGTTTGAGTCTCGGCGCTGAGGCAGTCCTTTGATCGTGGATATTATTGCTGTTGTCTTTTCCTAGGCAAAGGAGATGTTTTTGGGGATGTCTTCTGGAAAGAAACTACCCTCGCCCAGTCTTGTGCTAACGTAAGGGCTCTGACGTACTGTGACCTTCACGTGATCAAGAGAGATGCCTTACAGAAGGTGCTGGAGTTCTACACGGCCTTCTCACACTCTTTCTCCAGGAACCTCATCTTGACCTACAACCTGAGGAAAAGGGTAAGGAGTTATGGTGTGCTTAATAGAAGTTTATAAGGATGGTCTCGGGTTGGCTCTTTTCCTTTTCGATTGATTCTGTCAGGATTATTATTTTTTTAAATGGAAAATGTGGGTGTATAAGAATCCTCACTGGTAAACAACTCACCTACAGGCATATTTGCACTACAATGGGGTGTAACTTGTGCAACAATCTGCTCCTCTGTTTCCTCATTTTGCATGCTCCCTGCACCCCCCCCCCCAATTCTGGAATTTGCACTGGGGATTCCATGGATTTTATTGGATTCAACCCATATACAATGGTACCTTGGTTTAAGAACAGCTTAGTTTATGAACAACTTGGATTTAGAACGCTGCAAACCCGGAAGTAGGTGTTTTGGTTTGTGAACTTTTCCTTGGAAGCAGAACATGTTGAGTGTGTTCCATTTGTAAATTGAGTCCCCTGTTGCTATAGGAAAGCATGCCTTGGTTAAGGAATGCTTTGGTTTAAGAACAGACTTCCAGAACGAATTAAGTTTGTAAACCAAGGTACCACTGTATTGATTCACACCAGTTTACTGGAGAATTTTCTGCATCCCAGCAAACTAATGTAAAATTACTGTGGAGTCAATTACAATGAAGCATGATGTAAAAAATGTGTCAAATTGGTGAGTAAGCTGGGGGTGTAAAAAATCCAATGTCTGTTGATATGCCTGGGTTCCTAGGAGACCCTGAGAACTGTAGCGCTGCTCAAGTAAATTCTCAACACCCTTTCTATGCTACAATTCCCATGATTGAGAATCCTTGGCCTTGCACAAAGAACCATAGATTCCAGAGTTTCCTAGCGAGAGGGAATGACCGTTAAAATCTGTACTGGAGATAGTTTCTGCTTCTTCGCAACTTCGGTATCCAGCAAATGTGCCTCAAACCTTCTTCCTTATACCTCTTTTTTTGTATATGCTCAGAAAGTTGTGAAGATGGGGTGGGGGGTGGGGACTGTGCATATATTTAGTGCATTCTTCCCCCACTCACAAACACTCGCTCAGCACTAAGACCAGTCCGCTATTGCAAAAAGAGAAATGCAAACAGCAACATCAGCACTTTGAAGGATAGAATTAAAGAATTGCCATAAGAGGTTTTGTGGGAAGCATATTCTAAAATAAAGAAGTCTCCAAACTGAAGTTTGTGTTAGTGTATAAGAGTAAAGAAAAGCATATAGTAGAAATATGATTGTGAATGTAACATGGAGAAATCCTGAGGTATGCCATGGAATGAGGCCTCAGACAAAAGGGAGGCTACTCAAGAGGTGAAGATTGAGGCCTGTTCTCTTCTCTGCGTTTGGCTCCTCTGAGTTATCCTCTACAACCCTTAAAAGTGGCAAGTAGTTGTCACTTCATCCAGCCAGTCAGATTTATTAACAAGAAACCATTGCTGATCACAAAAATAGCACCAGCATGTTTTAACATAGGCGATTCCCAGTCTACAAGGCCCCATGTTGCACTGTGAAATCTTGTCTGAACTGTGAGGGCAAATGTTAAAACCTTATATGTAGTGTAATTATCCCAACCCATCAAGAAATAACAGATTTTCTACCTATTATTTTTTTTTTTTAAAAAGGAATCTTCCTGGTAGAATTAGACAGGGAGCAATGCAGTACATAATGAGCAGCATTTTCCACACCTCCTGGACTGCAGGTACATAAATGATGGCTTAAAGGTATTCTGGCACATCCGCTGTGCTGTGTTGTGCAATGGTTGCGTGGGCAGTTAGTATGTGTATTTACTTACTTCAAGACAGATATAATTGATCTCCCAGGTCTGTGGCAGAAAATTGGCACAAGGCAATTGGTGTACAATGTTTGCCATTGTTTGCACGATATGGGTGCATTCTGCTAATGCTTTGAAATAATCTCTCAGATGGAAGAATCTAATACACTTTTGGTTGTGGGGTTTTGTTTTAGCTCTGCATCATTTCTGGTGAGACGGTATGGGCTGCTTTCTGTGGTAATATATTTTAATAGGGTTGGAACTGTTGCTTCAGATACAAGGAAGATAGGAGAAAGCCATGAAATCTGATTAAAAGCCAGAAAAAGGCTTTACAAGGGTATAGCTTTGCAACTATAATTGTCACCATGCAATGAGCGTAACCTATTTTGTCGAGACATTCCTTTATTATAGCTTCAAATACAGCATGGAATTCTTTGGCCTAATTAATTAACCTGTTCGTTAGTATGTTTTGACGGAGTCTTGTGAGAATCACCACAGCGTTACATGCCATTTTTTATACCTGCCAGTGGAAAGACTACTTATTTGTTTTCAAAATCATGTTGGCAGCAAACAGAGTTAATCATTTCATTATGCCCTGTTGAATTGAAGTACGCACTCAATTAGGTGCAAGCAGAATAAATTAGAGCAGGAAAACTTCAATACAAAGTGGATATTTCCTTCAGATTAAGGCTCAAGATCCCTTTATGAAGGACCACTGGACAGTTAAGTCCAGCCAAAGGCGACTATGGGATGTGGTGCTCATCTCGCTTTCCAGGCTGAGGGAGCCAGCGTTTTGTCCACAGACAGCTTTCCAGGTCATGTGGCCAGCATGACTAAACCACTTCTGGTGCAACGGGACACTGTGACGAGTGCCAGAGCGCATGGAAATGCTGTTTACTTTCCCACCACAGCAGTACCTGTTTATCTACTTGCACTGGTGTGCTTTCGAAATGCTAAGTTGGCAGAAGCTGTGACAGAACAACGAGAGCTCACCCTGTTGCGGGGATTCGAACTACCAACCTTCTGATCAGCAAGCCCAAGAGGCTCAGTGGTTTAGACTACAGCACCACCGACCCCCAATGAAGAGATGTGTGGCACAGCCACCCCATATATCACCTTCTCCAGTGATGTGCAGTTGAAATAATAATAATGATTATTATTTATTATTTATACCCCGCCCATCTGGCTGAGTTTCCCCAGCCACTCTGGGCGGCTCCCAATCAAGTGTTAAAATCGGTACACCGTTAAGGCTGCCTGATATCACATCAGGCTGCCTGATATCACATCAGCATGAAAACCAGCACATTTTTTTTATGGGCACACCTCTGCAGCTGCTGCCCCAACTGGAGGCACGCCCTGCCCCCCCTCACCTCACCTGAGAAGCACGCTGAGCAGGAACTGGGAGTAGATGGGTCCTTGCATCCCTTGGCCACGCAGCATCACCCGCCGGTGGGGGAAGCAGGCAGACAGTGAGAGTGGTGGCAGTGGCAGTGCCCAAGGTGGAGGAGCACCTGCTGCTGCTCTGCAGCTTTGTCCAGCAGCAGCAGTGCTGCATGGAGGTGCCAATTGGGGGAGCAATGCTTGCCTTAGGAGGCATAATGTTTTCCTTGCCCTGGGCTTTGGCAACCCACGCTATGCCACTCTTTGTAAGCAATTTCCCCTAATGAAATGCATCTTTGCATATTTACTTCACAGACATGTATATTGTTATGCAAACTTATTATTTTTATACACATTACTTGGCTGGAGAACTGCACTGCAAAATTTTGAAAGGTGGCTGCATTTTGGCTCACTTATTATTTTGGGTATTGTGAACTAGTTAAGTTTGTTTTCAAATACACACTGAGACAACTTTCTCTCTCATTCCATCCCAGCTTAAGGAACTGCTGTCCACGGCTGCTACTGTTTTTAAACCAGAGCTTTCTTTATGCTAAGCTTAGAAGGGTTATCTGTGGATTGATTTGCAAAGACATATTCAGGCAAAGGAACTTCATTCTTTCCCTTTCATGTTATTCTATGAAACATTTATTATAGAAAGCACATTCCATCATAGCAATTTCCATCTGATTATTGAGATAATGGTATTTTAATTGGATTGCAGTCAGTGATAAAACTGATGCTGATTGATGGTGAGAATGGTTAAACTTGATTAGTATTAAGTAAGTGAACTGCATTCTTTTTCTTTTATTTGCAAGAAGCTGATTGCAAATTAGAATTGGCTACCCTGAGTTACCCAGCACACTTACTTTGCAGGCTGCAGAAGATGTAAACATTGTGTTAAGAATATGGATAAGGTATACCAGATGGGAAATGTGGAAGAAAAAATACGATCTGTTTTGAGAAAAGTGCTTCATTCATTACCCATAGGTTGCATTCCTGTTTGTGCTACAAATATTTCGGTTTCTCATGCTTTGAGTCTTTAAGGATGTTGTGTGTCTGTGAGGGAGGAAGAGCTAGAATCTAGGCTTTAGGTGAGTATAATTCTATCAGTGCAACTTGCATGGGAATCATACACAGCAAGACATTGAAGAATGGAACAGTTAACAATCGTGTCCTTTTGAATCAGGTCATCTGTCTGATTGCTTAACTTTTTTTTTTAAAAAAAGAACTGCATGCCCATTTACCCTTTTGATAAAGGAAGGCATGTTGAGTGCATAGTTAAACTATGGAACTCACTCCTACATGGGGCAGTGATTGCCATCAACTTATAATAATAATAATAATAATATTTTTTTATTTTATTTAACTTATATGGCTTTAAAAGAGGATTAGGCCAAACCATGGAGGAGAGGGGTATTGATGGCTGCTAGCTGCAATGGCAATGTTCTGTCTTCATTGTCAGTGGCATTATGTCTCTGATCACTAGTTTATGGGAATCACAGGTGGGTAGATGCTGTTGTGTTAATGTCCTGTTTGCAGGCTTCCCACAGTCATCAGGACGCTGTCTCAGATGGGTGATTGGCCTGATTTAGCAAGCTTGTCGTATGTTCCATTTATAACTGAGATACATTCCACAGTGACTTGTAGCAGGGCCTTCTCAGTGATGGCATCCCAGTTATGAAACTCCCTTCCATTGGAGATACGTTTGCCCCCCCCCTCACTGACATCTTTTAAAGGTCTGTGAAAGACCTTTTTTGTCTGGACTTTGGGGACAGAAGAGGTGGCTAACCAGCTTCGATTTTCCATGACATCTGCATTGTTTCTGTTTTGTAATTGAATTGTAAATTGTATAATTTTGCAGTATTATGTTATATTTTA